CCAGACCATTCCCCAGCCTACAGCCATTTCCGTCCACCCCAATGACTGTAGGCTGGGGAATGGTCTGGCTATAGCGAGACTAATCAGACTAATCAGGCTCAGCATCACTAGAAGTAGAAGTATCACAAGGAAGATCATAATCATTAGTCTCTAACTCTGTGAAATCAACTGACACTAGATCTGGCTCATCTATAGAAATTTCAGGTAGTAAATTTTGTGTGCAGCTGCCATTAACACAACTGATGATTTATGACAAGCAGTACTTGCTTATTTATAGATCTATACATGTTAGTTATTAACCTTACTTCTTTCAGTAAGGTCATCATCATTGGTATTTCTTTTTTTTTGGTTTAGGAGGCAAGAAAGAAAGGAGAGTTGCTTGACGCTTGGTTGCCATTGCAAGAAATGATTACAAAATTAACATTCAAAATATTCATGAAAAGTTAATTTTAATAACAATAATAATTAATTTTAATGATTATGATGACTTCCTTTTCCTGTCAAAACTTCAGGGTGGGCATTGCCCCTTAATGCCCACCCCTGGAACCGCCTATGGGTACTAAACAGGGATGGGGCAAAGTACATTTAAAAGTGCTTAAGCACAGTCCAAGACTCCAAGTACTCTGAAGACTGTAATTACATGTACGTAAGAACAAGTACCAATTACTTTACCCTATCCCTGGTACTAAGATAAATTGTGTTTTCGTATAACTAGGAAGATTATGATGGCATATACATATAATAAATAAGTGCATCAATTTACATGTAATTACTATAGACCACCCATGCAGAGTGAAAATTGCAAAAGCTATAAATTTCATTAAATTCTTGTACAGTATCTACCCACACATCATGATTGACTGCCAATTTGGTTGACAAGTTTGTAATGGAAGTCAACTGAAGCACGCTGCTGTAGCTATCAAAAGGTAAAAATTACTTGTGAAACTGAGTTGTGATAAGAAAGTATAGCAGCCTTTAAGCCTGCTTCTTCTGTAAAAGATTTTGTCAAATTCGTGCTTGATTTTGTAATACAGGTTTGTTTTTATGTCAGCCCGTTTTGTTCTA